CGGGCCGCCGAATACAAGCCCGCGGCCCGTTCAAGGTGAAATTCGGGCTCGGGCGGGCGGCCCCAAAATCTCGGGCGGGTCGGGTTCGGGCTCGGGCAAATCCTCGGGCTTTTCGGGCGGTCGCGGGTGGCCCGTCTAAAGTTCCAGCACTAGATGAGAGTTCGGTTCAAGGTTTAGGATGAATTCTTTCCATTGGACAGAAAAACTGCACCAACATATACCATTGATAGAATATCCTACCATAAAAATCCAAATGTAGCCGCGTACCACATCTTTTAAAAAATATATTTGAATTATCTGACAAGCAACAAAATATTAAGATGATGATTATATCTTGTAGGGACTTGAATGCAAGTTTTGAAGCTTTCTAAAAGAACTTTTTGAGAAGCCACGTGACTTGATTGAAAACTCTTTTAGTTTGGCCAAAGCTCTTTTAAAAGATCGTCCAGAAACTCTTGTAAGAATTCATAAGAGGCTCACATTTTGTTACATATAAATAATATCAAATTTCAACACTGTTTTTTTTTGCTACAAAAGTGTTAATTCATAGAGAAATCGTCATTATAAAAGGCCAACCTCCTGGAAACAACCTGATGAGATGAGGAGGCATGACCGTGTTTAGAATTAATCTCGTTTTCATTTTTCATAATTTTTAAGAAAGAAAAAATGAAAACGTTTCTAAAACAATGTTTTACATAATAAAAACAAAAAATGAAAATGAAAATGATTTTTTAGTTTAGTGTAAAATGAGAGAGATGAAAAATAACTTTTAATCGTTTTTTATTTTTTGTTTTCATTTTCTCCTCTCTCGAGCAGGAAGAAAGAGATAAAGACATTAATGAGTTTTTTTATACTAAAAATAATATCTTGATAAAATTACCAAACGCATTTTTAAAAATAATTTCTATATGAGATTAAAAACGTTTTCATTTTCATTTTCATATAAAAAATAAAATCATGGAACAAGTTTTAAACGCGCCCAAAATAATCCACTGTACAAAAAAAATGGCTAAGACCCCCACCTAGCAGCTTGGTGAGCTGCAACATTCATATGTCTAGAGATCCAAACAAAACAAATGACATCAAAATTAGTACAAATAGAGAATTTTTTTCACCGATTTGAGTTTATAATTTGAGTTTTATTACAGTAAAAAATTTTAAAAAATAGTCACATATATTATAATAAAAAACTCTAACATAAGTTACATCTTAACTCGAATTAACGAATTAAATGGACTTTAGCTTCCCATGAAATATTGTCCTTCACTCCGTTAAGAGCATTCACCACATTCAGACAATCACTACTCACAGTTACTGAACGCCAACCTCTCTCCACAGCCAAAGTCACTATTATTTAATTTCTAGCAAAAAGTCACTATTATTCAAGTATCGCTATATGTGTAAAGAGCCTCCCCCCGCGGGAAGGCAGTCCGTAAGGAGGTCGTTGAACGGCCGTCACAAATCATTCTGGTATTAAATGCTGATGCATTATGAATGAAATAGAATCTCTGAGTTCCTTTATCCAGTAAAAATCTTCTACAAAGGGCGAAAAAAGATCCTCCTATTGTAGTGGACAAAGTTCTACACGTTTGAAAATTTGATGAAATAGTAAATCACCTTTTCTCTCCTCTAATAACAAAGGAGTTGTTCTTTTATATTTGAAAATAACAAAGGAGTTGTTATTTTACATTTTTAAGTTAGGGTAACTTAAGTGATGATTTTAAGTTGAGTTTGAGTTATAATTTAAGTTAAAATTTTAACTTAAATTTGTATTTGGATGTGCACATTTGAATTATAATTTGAATTGAAAATCTTTTTAAGTTTGTGTTTAGTTAAGTCAAAACTTAAATTTATATTTAGATAGTATTTTAATAAAAACTCAATGGTGATAAAAAATTTTAATAGAGTATATAAGTGAGGTTTTATTCGTCTTTTCGTTGTAAATGCATAGAAAAAAAAATCATCTCAATCAGAATTAAAATGAAAAAATTATGACATTTTTAAGAATAAAAAAAAATATTGTTCATTAACTTGAGTTCGAGTTTATGAACTCGAATTGAAAGGCAAACTTGAACTCAAATTTAGCCCTAAACTTGAGTTCAAATTCTAGTTCAAACTCAAATTTTATAAAAGAACATAAACTTAAATAAAACTATAACTCGAGTTTAAACTTTTTCTGAGTTTAATTTAATGGCTAAAATGCAGATTTTAAATACCAAGCCAGAATTGAAATATCAACTTTGTCACAACAAATATAAACAACCAAATTCTGCGGGATCCAAGTAAAACTATTGCCGATATTTCTACTCGACACCAATTCTTTTATCCTTCTTGTCACATGCATCGAACTGTCTCCACCAAAAGTGAATAAAATAGACTCTGGTAATCCTAAGAGTGGGAATAAGAATCTTACAAATTCTCATGGGAATAAGAATCTTACAAATTCTCATGTTTAGTACAAAAAATGTGATTTCATAACGCTAAAAAATACTCCAGATACACAATACTTCTCAACCTCTTATGAATTTAACCTTCCAATTTTGCAGTCTAGAATGTGGAAAGAAACTCAAAATTAAACATGACAGTTTTCCAAACCTCAAATACGAAGTTGCCATAAATTAAAATAAAGACAAGGATGATATGTGATATGTTCCTTACTTCAGAATTCCATCCCAGTCCAAATTAACAACCGTCCTGATGTCGGTTTCCTCCAAGAAAAACACTTGGGAGTTGAAAAATGCCAACTTCATTCTTTGGTTTTAGCCTTGATGCAAGCAATTCACATCCTCTTTACAGACTAATCTCCTAATGTGGTGAACATGTCGAGCAAATTTTTCTAATATGAACAAAACCCCTGTGCTACAACCATCAACTTTATAGCCTAAACTCTAAAATTTCACCAGCAGCTTACTCAAGGAAGTGCAGAGCATAAAAACTATATATAAGAAAAGAAGCATAGCACATAACAATTTCAAGCAGGCCATCAAATGCTAGGGGTCCCAATCTTTAATACCATTGACCTGGCATGCACAGTTATTGATAGATATTTAAGAAAAAGCCATATGAGTTAAAATCAAGAGTTGCAGCTTGCATCTACCATTCGCACATGATAACACACCAGCCACATGAACTGGCATGAAAACGTTGGGATCAAAGTTGGGCCCCTAGCTCTATTCTTATGAGAAACTTCATCATGTCTGTCTCCCCTAACATCTAACTGCCTTCGAAGTTGAATGTCAGTACGACAGTAAGTTATTAACCAAATTGCATCTTTTGGGCCGAAAGTCTATCCTAACACTTTCTTACACTAGTTGAGTACCAGCAAGAGAGCATATTAACAGGCATTACAACAAAGACAAAGGCCCCAGTCGCTTCGTAGGTTCAAATTGTGTGGTTTTGAACTTTTAAGCCTCGTTCACTTCACGGATTCGAGTTTTCAATTCGAACTGAGATGTGACATTTTCTGAGAGCTTTTTACTGTAGCAGAAAAAGTTAAATGTGACATTTTTTGCGAGTTTTTTACTGTAAAAACCTAAAACTGAAAACTTGAATCGGTGAAATGAACGAGGCCTAAGTTTGAACCAAAAGGTTTGGACCTATATGTTTTTGTGGTTCAAATGCCGTTTGGTAGGGTAAGGTGTAAACAGAGAATAAAGTTTGAACCGGTCTTTAGTTACGTCAATAGAACTATGAGTTTGAAAGACAGCGGTACTCAAAATAATGTCTGGTACAGACTCTGGCTCATCTCTGATAATGCATCATTACTTCAAGTAACAACTTGTTATAACCATCATAACCACAAACAATTGGTCCTGACTCACAAGCCCTGAAGGATTCTCCCTTTCTCTCATTGCCAAAGATACAAAATGGTGTTGCCAAAGATACATAAGAGTAAGACTAATGACAAAGCTTTAACAATATGTTTCTCAGAGTTCGATAACTTGTAACTTCTCTCAACCAGAAACCGCCTTAATTTCAACATGCTAAACAGAATAGAAAAACTGCAAATTAGTCCCTAAAATAGTCCATTGTCGTCATGGCATTAACCATTAAGTGTAAAAAGAAAATCCTTCAGCCCAGTTTAGGTCCAAGGACGATAAACTGTTTTTTTATCCCATCCCCAAATGCCTCCTACCAGGTAAACAGCAAAAGAAATTACCAAACAAAAACAAATTGAAATTTGTTAACAAGGAAAACCCATCACACAAATCATTAAATCCATAAACAAAACGAAAAAACCCACAATTTAAATTTATATATCCCATCAAAAGAAAAATATAAAGAGCATCCTTTACAGATCCAAATTACTAACCACTAAACAGAAGAAGCAGAAGGACTATTATTCATCTTCAATTTAAGCTTCCTGATTTTCCCATTAACGCAATCCAATCCGCACCCACACTGGGGACACTCGTAGAAATTGTCGATCGGAAACGACGCCGAAGCGATTCCAACCGAGAATTCGAGCTCGTCACCTTTCCGAATCACCTCCACAATATTCAGCCAAAAGAACAGCACCTTCACGCTGACCCCAGACAGGCTCGTCAGCCTGTCCTTGGAGATACAACCGCTGATCGTGGATTTATACTTCAACTGATACGATCCTTCCAAGGAGAAACTGCACGAGCCGTCCCAGTGGGCATAGAATTTGCCGTTCCCTCTGTCCAGTTCGTAGCTCTTCACGCCCTTCGGGAGAAGACCGATCGGAAAGTCGAACGCCTCCAGGAGATCGTACGCCGTCGGGCTATCACCATCGCCGGCGACGGCGGTGGTCGTGTTGGTGGATGATGACGTGGCGAGCGGCGATAGGAGGATGAGAATTGCGAGAATCGCCGCGAGAGAGGAAGACATGGCGGTGCCTGTGTTGGTTTTCTCTGTCGTTTTTTTTTTTTTAATATTTATTTGGAACGAAAAATTTGTTATTTTGTGGGGAGATGTGGATTGGTTTTTTGTTGATGAGAAAAAGATCAAAGATGGTGGGGTTAAAGACTATGTGGAAGACTTATTCGACGACGGCGTTTTAATGCTTTGTGTTTGTTTTTAGATTGCACACGTGCTGCTCAACAGGCAGGCCACGTGAGCTGCTGTCAATGACATTGAAGACAACTGGCTCACAGATCGAAGAAAATAAGAAATAAGGGTGCAAGTTCCGTATAGTTTTTGTTTTTGTTTTTTTTTCTATTTAATTTTTTTTTTTTTGGAGCTTGAATGGTAGTGATTAGATTACCGTCGGTTATGTAATTCGCTCAATGATGCTTGATTGGTACAAATGTTTTCTTTTCTTTTCTCTCTTTCTTTTTTGATTGGTTTAAGGTTGGTATATGACGAAAGGCGTCCGTGACTGTTTTTAAAGCGCGATTTTGAGTAGAGTTGAAACTTGAAAGTTTAGGGCCGCATGATCTAACCCGAACCAGACTCAACAGTCCGAATAGGAACTCCAAGACGGGTCAACTCGGCCCTAAAGGGAAGAAAGTCATTCCATCTCGGCCGTGAAGCCATACGGACTAGGATGACCTTTGAGAATTAAAAAATAAAAAATAAAAAATAAAAAGTATTTTGAGAGCGGCTGAGCCGTCACAAAACACTTTTTGACTTAAAAGTATAGGTTTGATCTCACCCAAACACTGGGTTCGTTTAGTAAATGGATCTAAAATTATGATTCTAAATTCTAATTCATAATCAGTATTTATTTACAGTGATTCTGAATCAGTGTTTAGTTTGGATGATTCTGAATCATAATTCAGAATCTGATGTGATGTTTTAAATCAAAATCACTCATGATTCTAAAACCACTCATCCTCTTAATTCAAGGTGATTCAAACTCTTGATTTTGAATCATAGTTTTAAAATCATGATTTGAATTCAAAATCATGAATCATGGTTCTGGTTTTAAAATTATGATTAAAATCACCATGATTTAAATTCTCGTACTAAACGAACCCTTAATCAAGTTAGATTGAGTTTAGACTAAACTAATAATTTTGGGCCTCAAATTGACCTATTTGATCTAACTTAAACTTACAACTCTAATATTGAGGGCTTGTTCTTTTATAGTTTAACTTGAGTATAATTCTTGAGTTGAATTTAAGTTATAACTTGAGTTGAACTTGTAACTTGAGTTTGTGTTTGGTTGTATATATTTATGGTTTGAGATAAGAATCTTTTTGAGTTTGTGTTTGAGTGAGTCAAAATTTAAATTTGTATTTAGATAGTATTTTAATAAAAACTCAATACTGATGAAAAATTTTAATAGGGTATATGGGTCGAGTTTTATTCGTCTTTTCGTTGTCAACGCATCGAAAAAAAAAATCTCAATCAGAATTAAAACGAAAAAGTTATAGCATTTTTAAGAATAGAAAAAATAATGTTCATTAATTTGAGTTTGAGTTTCTGAACTCGAGTTGAAGGGGAAACTTGAACTCGAATTTTAGTCCTAAACTCGAGTTTGAACTCGAGTTTAAACTTAAAAGAACATGAACTCAAATAAAGTTGTAACTAGAGTTGCCTTTTTTGAGTTTTTCACTCAAAAGAATAAGCCTTGAGTAATTTTCGGAGAGTACCATAAAAACCCAGGTCGAGATTCTACTTTCCTAACTAAACTTACAACTCTAATAAAGTCTTCAAAGCCACATTTTCTGCTTGATTTTTAACCTGAAAGGTGTTAATTCAGGAAAATCCCATTGCCAAGCAATCCAGGCACACCTCTCACACCTTTGATTTCCGCCATAGATATTGAAGCTTTATATTTCTATTGCACATAAGCATTCATCAAAAGTCACCAAAAATAGTCCGCTCTGATTAAAAAAACCCATTAGTAATAATTTATCAGATTACTTTCTAGCTTTCAGAGCCGGAGATAGCAGATCATCTCTGTTAAAAAGACAAAATAACCTAGTAGATTATCGTGTAGATATTGTTGATGATCTATTAGATTACTCTCTCCCAACGGGAGTGGCGATTAACGATGGTCATTATTTGTTCCAGCAACATCGATTAGTTTACCAGTGATAATTTGGTTGCTTACCTTGTTTTATTGGTGGGACAATTTTAGTGAAACGTATTTTGTTGAGCTTTGACTGGTCCTCTCGTGTGCTAAAAAACATAAAACAACAATAAGAATGCATAAATTCGTTTGCACTATTTTTTATTATTTATTAATTTCTTTACTATATATTACATGTGAATAATGAAGCAATTAATTCATTAATCATTAATAAAAAAATAAATTAGAATTTCAGTGTATCTCATGAAAAACGAGGTCAACTAGCTAGCCAATAATATTCGTATTTTTATTTTCGTGCTCCCCTCTAAGTCCATATTTTTTCGTGCAATGAGAAAGTTCCCTATTTGAATTCATACTGCATCTTAAATAATATATGATCATCGTGGCCCTTGAACTTCTTAATACAGGAAATTAAAAAATAAAAATAAAAACTCGAAGGTCACATTTAAAGGAGCTTATATTAAAACGAGAGAGAAGTCAGAAAGAGAGAGAGAAAGAGAGAGAGAGATCACATTTGAACGTGGAATAAACATGCCAATATATGCCATATATAGTAATTAATTAGCAATAATCAATAATCTGTAGTAGGTATAGTAGTACTTTCAGCGAGCCTTTCCACATCCAAAATGAACCTAATCTTACCAAAAACTTTGATATAATAATCAAAGGCACATAATTTAACAACATTGTATGGTAGTGCATATCACGATTTATTAGTATGTGGTTCAATTAAATTTAAACGGTCTAATTTATGAGTGTATTCATTAAAAACTTTTAATGCACCACACTGCACAAAAGTATTCATTCACATATAAATCCTAGCAAGTGGTCTTACCTCTTAAAAGCTCATGACCAAGGACGAAACATTGTATAAATCTCGATCGATCATAACCTCATCACAGTGCATTCCACAGCTCACGAAGTATCCGACCTCGAAGTTGGCCGAGGCGAATCCGACGGAGAATCAGAGCTGATCATCGCTGACACGGACCACTTCCACGACGTTGAACCAGAAAAACAGCACCCTAACGCTCACGCCCTTCATGTTTCTGAACCTGCCTTTGGATATAACCGCCGTTAGGGTTGGCTGGTACTTGAGCGTGTGGCCATTTCTGATTTGAAAGCTACAAGTTCCGTTTAAGTATGAGAAAGAGTGCCATGATTAGTCATCTCATCAAACGGCTAGGATTGGTTCACTGTGAGATTGTGTAAAATTTGTCACTGTATAGTTTTTTTTTTTTTTTTTTTTTTTTTTTTCCTTAACTGTCATTCTTAGTGCGCCTAAGCAATTGCTGAAATCCTTTTGTACGGTTTTATCCCCATTGGTTAGCCATTCTTTGCTTTGTCTATATATTGCAAAGAATTACCACTGTACAGATTATTCGATTGAGGAATCAATTCAAGGCTGCTCCTTCTTGTCTTTTTCTCCGTTTTTCCTTTTCTGCAATTAGCTTTCTAAGTACACCTTGAAATCTCCCGTGTCTCTGTTGGGATCGTACTTTGTCGCTCCCTTGGGAAGAAGGCCTATCGGAAAGCCGTATTCTTGAAGCACTTGGTAAGCTGAGAAGTTGTTAATGTTGTCATCGCAAGAGGCGGTGTTTGAGAAGGATGAGAGAATGGTGAGAATAGTTGAGAGGATTAAGGTCATTGAGTCTCTCATACATGGGTTTTGGTTGGGATTGGGAACAAAGTTTTTAGCACTGAAACTGGCTCTTCCTGGCTTTGTGGAGAGTATTTATGTTTGGTCGTGTAGAAAATGAGATTAGTTGGTGATATAGTATAAGATGTGTGTGTGTGTGAGAGAGTGGAAGTGGATTAGTTGGCATATATATAAGCCTAAGAAATCAGATGTTAATATATAGCGTAGTTGCTTTTTGGTTTTTCTCGGTTGAAGGAAAAAAAAAAAACTCAAAACCCAATTTTGTTTGATTGCAGAAAAATGTGTTAATCACTGGATTTACTAGATTATTAAGTATTTTTGAATTTAACCGGTAAAATCTCCCTTTGACTACGAAAATGTATACATTTAACGTAAATTAGTAGCAATATAAAAATATAAATGTATAGCAATTTATACTATAAAGTACACTTTTTTGACATCTTTAAAATAAAATAAAAAAATATATCACACATATTTATATATTTATACATGTATATGGGACATGGTGTATGTATGCATTGACATGGTAATTAATTCTCCACTCAATGATAGAAATTGCAGGTGTTATGGTGGTTGAATGCTTGTTGGATTGAATATGACCAATTAGTTTTGTCTTTTTATTTTTAATTAAAAAAATCATGTAATCTCATTACACCGACATTATAATCATTATTGGTTTTTTTTTTTTTTTTTTGCCTGGGAAAAAGTTTAATGCAGAGAGAGTAGCTCGTGAACCTCATGGCAGATGCCAGATGACCAATTGGAGCGGTCGTGTGCATGTTTGTTGGGTGAAGTCAGATTAAGAAAGCCTAATTATGAAAGGGAAAAATGTTAGTATCACTTCATTGTCTTCGTCATTATTATATTCATTATTTGATACCTAAATTTTATTATTTTATTTTTATAATAATAATATATGATATTAGTAAAATTTATGTGTTAAATAATAAATATAGAGAGTAACAAAAATAGTGATACTAACGTTTCTTATAAAATATCTTTTCCTAAAAAGTCATATACTCTTTTCATAAGTTCTTCTTGACTGTTATTCAAAAGTTCTAAAAATGTATTGATATTAAACCTCTGGAGGCAATTATAGACCCTGGGGAGCAATTCTAATTGGTCAATATAAATATATTTCAATGCTATTTCTTTTTCCGTTTTTCTTCGTTTAGCTAATCTACCATGAAAATTAAAAAGGGGTAAAGTACCTTTGTATTGATTGCAAGAATTTTAAGTTAAATGTTGAAGTATGTGCCTTCCAGTACAGAAGAAACTGATGAGTGACGGGGTTGAGAATGTAAGAGATCAAATTAGGAAGTAATTTTTCTTTTTTAATAACAAAATTCGACACGTCTATTAATTTGTGACTATATCAAAGATGCTCTTATTTTGTTACTCATTTGTGTTTTTTTTTCCAAAGCATTTCAAAGTAGAAAAGGTAAGACTGTGTAGAAAAAAAATAAAAAATATCACTCAAGATAGTAAAATTATTATGTATATCAGTTCACTTAAAAATAAATAATTATCATTCAATTAATAAAAAGAAAGTAAAAAATCACAATAACACTTAATTATTTAGAATGACGTAAATAATAGGCTTACCCTACAAATGATACTTTACTCAATAACAAAAATAGTAAAATTATTATGTATATCAGTTCACTTAAAAATAAATAATTATCATTCAATTAATAAAGAGAAAGTAAAAAATCACAATAACACTTAATTATTTAAAATGACTTAAATAATAGGCTTACCCCACAAATGATCACACTTTACTCAAAACTTTTGTTAGGGAGTTGATTGGCGCCCCATGTGTGGCCCGTTAAATTGTGTTGTCTTCCCAAAAGAAAAAAATGGATAATTTACTTTTGAGAGTGGATGAGATGAGACTTTTATTTCTTTCTCTTGATTAATACTCTTTTGTTAGTGTAATTATTTGACTAAAAAAATTATGAATCAAGAGTAAAGAGTAAAAATCATGACTCATACACTTTTAAAGGGTATTTATCAAGATTACCTTGCCCAAAATGACCCAGTATGTATGTAAATGAGCTTGGGCAGTGTTGCTTGCAAGGAGGAATCTATGTCTCCCCCTAAAGAGATGGTCTTCAACTTCTCCCAATTTTACTTTAACTTATCCAGCAAATTGGAACTCTCCTCATTATTATTATACTCTTTGATTAACAGTGCGTTTGGTAGGATGGAAAAGAAGAAGAATAGAAAATAGAGGAAGGATTTTGAAGAGAAAAATAGAATTTTAGGATGTTTGGTAGAGAGTAAACAAGGAAAGAAGGAAAATGAAAATTCATGAAGCCCACTAATTTTTAATCCTTCCAACTTTAAGTAGAAAAGATGAGGAAAAAAATTTGACAAATAAATTATGTGTAAAATAAGAATTTTAACCTTCACCATTCATCATATTTTTATTTGTATTGGGATATTATTATAAAAAGTCTTCGATTTAACATTTTCTTTTCACTTTACTTACTTTTTTACCAAACAAAATGAGAGAAATCATTTTACTTTCTTCACTTAAGTATTTTACTTCTCATGCCTTCCTCTTTTCTATCCATCCTACTAAACATAGTATAAATTACCATAAATAAGTGATTGCAACTTTCCCTAAAAGTAAATTCATGCCCCTATCTCTAATATCTAAGTATGGAGTGCAAATATTTCATAAAACGAAACATCCTGCAGATACATTTTCCGCTAACAAGTTTGTATTGGGATATTATTATAAAAAGTCTTCGATTTAACATTTTCTTTTCACTTTTCTTACTTTTTTACCAAACAAAATGAGAGAAATCATTTTACTTTCTTCACCTAAGTATTTTACTTCTCATTCCTTCCTCTTTTCTATCCATCCTACTAAACATAGTATAAATTACCATAAATAAGTGATTGCAACTTTCCCTAAAAGTAAATTCATGCCCCTATCTCTAATATCTAAGTATGGAGTGCAAATATTTCATAAAACGAAACATCCTGCAGATACATTTTCCGCTAACAAGTACATGCCCAAATGTTTGTTTGGAGCCTCTCTATTTCTTTCCCCTTGAAACTTTCAGTTACTTCATAATGAATTTATGAAATAAATTATGAAAAGTAGATTTATTATAAACCTATATTTTCATGAACATTCTCAAGTTATCAGGTGATGGGTACAGGATTCTTTTCGTCGACTTTAAAAAATTTATATCCAATCTTAAAATAGGATAAAGCTTAAAAAAGAAAAACCACTTGACATAAGTAAATTCATGAGCCCAATCATCATAATACTAATTGTTGAGGTACTAACCACACTCAAAACCTTTAAAAAATAAAATACAACCAAGTCCTGTTATTGCATATATTTTCATGTTTATTAACTGATTCATGATTAACATTTTACCCTTTTCAACTTTTTTATTTTTAATTTTTTATTACCCATTTCGGATTCTTTGTCCTTTCTGCCAAAGATTATCCTCTACGCCGCTGAATATGAAACTGGCAGTTAACATCCTTGGTCTACTCATCCTACATGGAAATCAACGAAACAAGAATTTGCAACAAAGTGAAAAACAAGAAGCTTGTCATGATCAATAATCATTAACCAACATAACATTAATAATCCAGTCATGAACTCTGTTTTTCCTTGTACCTTAACCACATCCAAAAGTAAATTTCTCTAATCCCACTGTCCCAGCATGTATAATTATAACATGTTGCAACAATAACAAACAAAGCGTCTACAACATGAACCATCTCTTAGAGTCAGTTTAAAGTTGTTGTGCTTTTAAAATAATTATTGTGCTTTTAATAGAAACATTACTTTTATTTATAACATGTTGCAACAATAACAAACAAAGCGTCTACAACATGAACCATCTCTTAGAGTCAGTTTAAAGTAGTTGTGCTTTTAAAATAATTATTGTGCTTTTAATAGAAACATTACTTTTATTTAAAGCAAAAATAAAGTAAAAGTAGAATATAAAATTTACGCATTCTAATTTTGTAAAGTAATTAAAAAAGTGCATTAATTTATATGTAAAATGCTTTTTGTGTAGTTTTATTAAATATTATAGTTACATCGTTGATTACGCAAAAGTGTTTTTTAGAGTTTTAAAAGCAATCCAAACACACCCTTAATTAGTCTTGCTTACCGCATAATATTAATAGCTCATAAGAGACGAAGACTGATCATCCCCTACACAGTCAAATCCACAGCCACACTGAGGACTCTCCACAAAGTTATCGATCGCAAAGCTCGCAGAAGCGATTCCGACGGAGAATTCCAGCTCGTCGTCGCCACGAGTCACCTCAACAATATTGAGCCAAAAGAAGAGGATCTTTACGCTGACACCCTTGAGTTTCTTGAGCTTGCCTTTTGATATAACTCCAGTTACGAGGGACTTGTACCTGAGGTTGTAGCCTTCAAGGTCGAAGCTACAAGTGTCGTCAAAGTGGACCTCAAATTCTCCGGTGTCTCGGTTCAGCTCGTAATCGGTCACTCCTGTGGGAAGAAGGCCGACCGGAAAATCATATTGTTGAAGTGCTTGGTATGCTGATAAGTTGTAAGTGTCGATACTAATAGAGTTGTGGTCGCTAAAGGCACTTGGGGTTGAGAAGGAAGTAGCTGAGAGAAATATGAGAATCAGAGGGAGAAACACCGTCGGAGACATGGGTTTTGATTGGAAATTGGAACTTAACTGTTTATGGCTGTGTAAATTCTCGCTCGCCAATTCTTTTTCCCCTTTTGGAGAGTGTTTGGTTGGTTAGAAAATGGGGTTGGTAGTATATATGGCTGATAGCTCCCCATGTGGTGGTTGAGACTTGAGAGTTAAAATGGTAATTTTGACTATTGATCATGACCGTAGGACTTTAATCGAACGGTGCCGATTTTGATGAGGTTCAATACGGTGTTAGGAATTTTTTTAAAAAAAAATACAATTACACTCGTTTTATAAACAACATTTAGAGGATGTTTGGTAGAGAGATTCGTTTCCTGATTCGAATCATGATTCGTGGTTTGCTACAGTATTTTCTCTCACAAAACATTTACGTAAATCGAAAATGGTTTAAATCACATAGTTTAAACTTTCCAACCAAACGTCCTCTTAATTTAAATCGTACGAATAAGGTTAATGGTCCTTACAATAAGAGCATTCTATTATCGAATCTCGTGATTTTATTTTTTAAGTCGGAACTTTTTTATATAGGTATAATTAGAACTTCATTAACAAGCAATAAGGAGCAAAACAATGCATCTCAAAAGGTAAATTTTGGGCCATTAATTATACAAAAGAGCAACAAACAGAAAGCAAGACAGCCAGCTAAAGTAGTTTCTTTAACAATGTCACACTCGTCCCACATTGAGGTCTAAATGGTCTTTTCCAATTCACATTTTGTTGTCTTGCCAATGAATAATATCTTCATTAAATAGTAGTACTATGCCTCAGTTGTTTCTAAGCAGTAATATTAATTCTTATAATTTGACTACAAAATTACGTTTCTAACCTTGCTTTAACCCGATCGTCTTTACTTCAGCGATCGTTTTCGTGCTTAGAAACTAGAAAGTTTAGAAGTAAATCCGAAAGGGGCTCTAGAAGAAAGTTCGATTTGACAGCATGCATAACTGCATACGCAATGCATGGCCTTTGAAAGCTGAATTACTGAATTACTGAATTAATAAATTTATACAGGCCATAGTTTTGGTTTTGCACAATATTTTTCTCTCATACAAAATTTAAATTTTAAAAGTCATAATTAAGAATGTTAATTTGAATTCTAATTTAAACTTTAATTTAAACTCATATACTAAATAGACACTTAAAAACTGAATTATTAGTCTCAATTTTGTAAAACAAATTACATATGTGTAACAACAACGTTTTCCCGTTATGCTTATTCCTAAAACAAAGAAAAGAAAAGAAAAAAAAAAAAAAAAACTCAATTGAGTGCTCGATACTGGTTCGCCTATTTATTTTTTCATTGAAGAAATTAGGTGCACATTTTCTCATCTTTTACGCGTCACTAGATTGTAATGATAGAACTAATTACTTATTGAGGTCAAATTAAAAATAAAAGTTTCATTTCCTTCCAAAGAAATAATAATGCTAATAAAGATAGCGAAAGAAGTTATTTCCTGTCCGAAATTAGTGTGGAAATCTAAAGAAGCGTGTGCTATTGTCATTTGCCACCAGGCAGACAAAATAAATAAGAGAAAATTGTAAAAAACTCTCACATAACATCTAATTTTTTTGATACTAATATAAGTGATAGGTCTTGACGATTTGAGTTTAGAATTTAAGTTTTACTACAGTAAAAAGTTTTCAGAACAGTTACATCTAACTTTTTTACTACTAAAAAAAGTTCTCACATAACATCACATCTCAACTCGAATTAAAAACTCGAATTAGCAAACCGAACATGCCCAATTTATGAGTTTAGACTTTTACTCTTTATTCTCTATAAATACTATTTTATTAGTGTAATTATTTAACTAAAAAAGTTATGAATTAAGAATAAAGGATAAAAATTCTGATACGTGTATTTTTTAAAAATATTTATCAATATTACCTAATAAATAAATAAATAAATCAAAGTGACGGGCCGCAGCTGTTAGATAGGATTAAATAAGGTAATTTACTAACGTGCCTATCACGTGAGATTCTCTGAAATATGGTGTGCGGATTTTCCTTGCCTACCACGTGAGATTCTTTGAAATATGCAAGTGTATAATTGTGAAGGAAAATCCTTTATATCACAATCATATCAGATTAATAAAGAAAATAGAAGCGATAATTTATAATGACGGTTAAAAATATAAAAAAAAAACTAATAATAATTTATTTTTATTTTTTATACCCTGTCGGATAAACTCTTAAAAAAATAATACATTAATATTTTTCTTTTCTTTTTTCTTTAGGACTCTTTTCCTAACTTAATGGAACGTTGAGATATTTAGGGCCCGTTTAGTTCGCTGATTCGAATTTTTAATTCGAATTGAGATGTGATTTTATGTGAAAATTTTTTACTATAGCAAAAAAGTTAAATGTAACTGTTTCTGAGAGCTTTTTACTGTAGTTAAACTCAAATTTTAAACTCAAATCGTCAAGGCCTATCACTTATATCATTATCAACTATCAATCCACACCATTTTTTGTAGTGATGTGTCTTGATATACAGATACAAACAAGTATATAAAAGGTCGTTTCTGTTGTTCAAACTTTGCAGGCGCAGCTGAAAGCGAAATACAAAAATCTATAAGTGGACAATGATATACTTGGCACCCAGTGTTGTGTGCCCAAAAAAGGCCTCCGGCTCCGGCAGATGGAGATATTTCTTCTCAATATTCTGTATGCAAATCTCTCTCCTTTATCAGTGAAGGAAAAGTGCAGACTTGTAGGGAACGAAATATTTGGTTGATTTACGGCAGCAAGTGAACCCCACAATTCATAATTTATGGTCTCGTTAAGTTCGTTAATTCAAATTTTTAATTTGAGTTAAGATGTGATTTTATATGAGAATTTCTTATTGTAATAGAAAAAGTTAAATATGATTTTTTATGAAAGCTTTTAATTATAATAAAATTGAAATTGAAAATTCGAATCAATAAGATAAATGAGGCCTGCTTATTACAATTTCACCCTCATTAAAATTAATAGAAATACTAATATTAACTATAATTTAATAGATATACTAATTTAAAGAAATAAAAGAGCATATAATCACATTAACTATAATTAAAAAGTATTTTTTAAAGGAATAAAAAGCATACCCCGCATCTTTAGTTAAATTAATTTTATCTTCATAGATCCTAAGCTATTCTTTTTTTTTTTTGGGGGGGTTCTTAAATGGTTTTTCTACCGTTTTATCAAGTACTTTATGAGCATCATCTTATTTTGCGAAGATGTTACAGTTCTTGAGCCTTTTTATGCATTAGCCTCATTGTGCATATGATTGTATTTTATTTTTAATCGCATTTAGTTGTTTTTATGCTATAGAGGCCTTGTTTTTATTTAATGGATATCATCAAAGGAAAAAAAATGAAGAAGAAGAACAAAGAAGGGGTAAGCTGAAGACGATTGACAAATAAATATAAAAGATACAAAAGTGAATGACAAATTACAACAATTCTAATATATAGATATATATATATATATATAACGTTAATAGTTTAAATGAATTATATTATTTTATAAATCAAATCAAAATTAAAATTAGGTGGAAAGGATTAAATTAGGTATTATGAAAATTATATTATAAAATGACAAAATTTTCAAATTTTTATTAGAGTGGTATTAATTATTGGAGGACATTTATAAATATTTTAGGTGTAAAAATAACTGCTCTCGAAGAATTTTCTTTTATATGTCTAGCTACTAAATTAAGAATGCAATTCTATTTCTATTTCTTTAATACCACTCTGGATGGTATTAATTATTGGAGGACCTTGTGAACTCTGGATGATCATCTGGCCTCAAAGACGTACCATCTCCGGAATCAGTTTGCACTCTAAAGAGAAACAATAAACACGGCCAAATTAGATTCATAAAACATGGCACCAGCCATCAGACTTTCGGCTTAAATGGAATCACTGCGCGAAAGATCAAAACTAATGAAAAACCTGAATTTCTTCTCTTAAACACCCAAGCTCTAAAATAGATTCATAAATGGATTTTATGCGTAAGAATTCTAACTGAGCAGTGAAGGATATGCAGAGCCATTCAACAGCAAGATTATGTTTTGCTCACAGCTGGTTTTGCTTTCCACAAAAAGTAAACTTTAGCCAACTTTGAATGGAGGATCAGAATTCAGGTGCCAAAAAAACAAAAAAAAAGCATCAGAGGTATCTAACTCCCACGGAATCACAGTGCATAGAAAGTACAGTAAAACAAACAAACGTATAGAAGTAGCCCACTACACCTTCCCAGCTTAATAAGCTAAAGTTTTATCCCACTATACAAGGTCCCGTTCATTTCGCTGATTCGAGTTTAGAATTTGAGTTTTGCTACAGTAAAAAGCTCTCACAAACAATCACATCTAACTTTTTTATTACAGTAAAAGGCTCTCACATAAAATCACATCTCAATTCGAATTAAAAACTCGAATCAGCGAACTAAACGGGCCCTACAATTCTCCCAGCAAAACAGAATTTGGCAGGTTAGATTATGGTTCAAAAAAAAAAAAAAGCACCACTTTCTAGCTTCAGTAACTTTGTTAGAACATATCTAATGCAATGTTATAATTAATGTGCAAATTATAAATTTAATATTTTAGTGTAAAAAAACTCTTTAATATAATGTTATTTATTGTACTAAATTTTTCATATGTTATACTTTACGGTAAATTTTCCACTAAATATATCATATGTAAAATTTGACATTTAATTACTATTAGTTGAAATGTTTATTTTTTTTTTACATTTTTAATTATTTTAAAAATAAAAAATTACTTTTACAACTTTTAAAGTATTTATGTAAGAAAAAGTAGAATAATAATGAAAAATATCATATTATAATTTTTAATACTAAATATATAATTAATATTTATATTTATATTAAAGATGGTGTTGACTGATCCTACTTACATAGTCATGCACAACTAGTGATTGAGTCGAAATATGTTTTAATGGGACGTTGTGATCTTTTCTTCATTGCAAAGTGAGATTTTTTCGGGGACTTGACACAAAGGAACAAACACGTCTGTATCAAGTATCAATCCACGTCATATTGTTTAGTGCTGTGTTTTAATATATAATTATAACAAGTACTTAGTAATAGAAACATCGATTTACATTTTAATTTTGTGTATCAATTAATATAATATGTGAGTTGTCATTTTTATATTAATAAGTACTTAAAATATTATCACATTAATTAATGATAATATATTTCATTTACCAATAAAAAATTACAACTCATTCACAAGTAAATTGGTACAAAATGTTGAGATTTAAATTAGTATTACTAACATTATATATATATATATATATTTAAACAAGTATATAAAAGTCGTTTATGTTGTTTAAACTTTGCAAACAAAGCCGATATAAGGTGACGTTTGTTTCAAAGATTCTACTTGATTTAAGATTTTGATTTTTAGTTCTGTTACGGTATTTTTTTCTTATAAAAAATTTAAATTTTAAAATTCAGAATTATGAACCAACGTGACCTAAATAGAAAATCTACCTTGATGCTACCGGCACTTCAAAATGTTGTGTACCAAAAAAAAGAAGTCCGGTAGATAGTAGATAGAGATATTTCTTCTAAATTTTGTGTCCGACTCTCTTTCTCTTTTATCAGTAGCGGGAAAGTGTAATGACATGAACAAGGTTTTATATAAATGTATATGATACTATATATATTAGTTATTTGGGAAAATAATGACATTCAATAAGGTTGAACACCATTACAGTTAGAAAGCATTTTCTTTGAAAAATAAGGAGTTATTTCTTCTCCAAATGACCACAACATGATGCAGCGTCATTTTCCAGCAGAAATATTATGATAAAACTCATGTTTTCTTCTCATGTATACGTATAGTCCCCCCCTCTTTTTGGTTGAATTCTCATTTATATTTCTAGTTACTAAATTTAGAATGCAATTATAATCATAATAATTTTCTCATGCCAATCACAATCCGTAATGAAATAGTAAATACGCCATAAATTCTATCTCGAGTAGAAAAATCACCAAGGATGAAACTCTCCGGCACCATGTGAACTCTAGATGACCTGGCCTCAAGAGTATCTCTGTAATCAGTTTGGAAAGCATTGACCACTCGAAAGAGATCTATGAACATGGCGAACGGATAAATACCATAGCACGCAGTAGCACAAACCATCAGACTTCCACTTGAATGGATAAAGTTACCTAACGCGCAAAAGCTCAAACCTGATGAAAAATCCGAATCTATTTCGCCCAAGCTTCAAGATAAATGATTAGGACTTTATGCATAAGAATTCTACCAAAGCAGTAACCATGTTAACAACAGCATTAACATTTTAGTTTAAAAGTTGCTTTGTGTGTAGGATTCAAATTCCGACCGTTCCCGAGGACCGAAAAGATTGCCTCCTTTAGCTAACAGCTGATTTTGTTTTCCACAAGGTAAATGAAGACCAACTTTGAATGGAGGATTACAATTCAGATGTAATGAATGGAGATAACAAATTAAAGAAAACACATTACAAGTATCCAACTACGATGGAATCACACCACAGAAGGTAGTAAAACAAACACACACACACACATAAAAGTAAACCCCTACACCTGCCCAAGCTTTGCAATAAAAACAAAATTTTTATCCCTTCCAAAAGCCGTATGTACTTGCAATTCTCTCAGGCTCAGCAGACCAGGTTCTGACAGGATAGATTATGGTGGAAAAAAAAAAAAAAAAAAGAGGCACCATTTGGGAGCTTCAGTAATTTTGTTAATCGGTCCTACTTACACAGTCATACACAACTAATGATTATTAGAGCGAAATTTTCATATATTTCCGCCTACTTTAAGACCTTGTCTAACAACCACACAGTTAATGTCGAACCTGAGCGTGAGCCAAAGTGACCCAAACATGCATCATAAAGCATGCATGAAGATGAGCATGTCACTTTCAGAGGGGCGGAAGAGTTCTCGCCAGTTCTGGTGCACTGTGCTTCTATAATGAATGTGAAAAAAAAATGTCATGGAAACAAAAATATAAATCAAATCCTTTAATATGACTATAATAATTCAATACAACAAACAACAAACTGTGAGAGTGATACATACAAACAAATTTGCCATGATCCATGATACTCGCGGAAAACAACAATTTGGCGTTGGAAAAAGTTAGCAATAAACTGCTATGAAATAATCTCAATCACAGTTGTAGGGAAACAAGGATTGTACATAAACTTGCTAAACAAATCAGCTCACGTCCTTGAGTCTTTTTATCAACACATCTAGTGATTTCTTTTTAGGGTTTTGCCTAGCTGCTCGGCTTCCGAATGTTCCAAAAAGCCGATCTGAAGGATCCTTCAACTTCTCAGAAATTGTAACCACTTTCCTGTAGTCTAGAGCATTGTAACTTCTTTCCCTGATTACAGGATTTAGAAAATTCTCTGGATGATTGCTCAGTAGCAAATTAATCAACTGCCTGGCCTGCGAAAGTGCCGTTTTTAACTGATTTGCATCCTCATCAGTAAACAAGGATCCTTGATTATCAGCAAAAGATTCCAACAACCGAATATCCACATCAACTCCAATGATTGCATTAACATTGAATCTCTTAACTGAATCCCCAAGTAAGGCTCCAACAATCATCTCTGATATGTGAGAAAGAACATCTTTTAGAACTCTTTTAAGAACTTGAACCGGCAAAATCTGCTGGGCAGTGGAGACCAAGGTTTCCAAATAGATTATCACCTCGTTCACATATTCGTTTCCACTCTGTGGAGGATCATCAGCCATCCAGTTTACGCTTTCAATCAAAGTCATGAACCCATCAGCCTTTGTTTTAAGCAACCCAGAGAGCATATCTTCTGCTGCATCACGAGCTTTGCTCAGTGGGAACTGCCTCCTACCCCTCTCTGCCATTCTTAAAGGAATCCCAGAAAGTTGTGCAGCATGGCGGAAGAAAAAATCACAAGCACGCTCCAAGACTGCCATATTCGCCGCAACCTGCATTGCTTGGGAAACCCCATGAACAGACGAATTGATAAGTTTCAACAAAGCCCCATCCAAGACCTCACCCAACAGCCGATCCAAATACTTCTTCACAACATCATAGAAATCCAGCTGCCCGCCATAGGACATAAAACTCACAGAATCCTCGATAAAGGACCGCACAATGCGGCAACAATCAGGCACTGTCGAAGAAAATGATGCAACATAAGGGAAAGCAGGTACTATGTCCGATGTTTGTATTTGAAACGAAAGAACATTCATCGAATACTCGTACTCCTTCTTCATCAACATCTGCTCAAACTTATCGGCGGCAAGCGCTTCCGCAATCTGTTTACGACAATCGGACAACAACAACTCGTGGTACTTGTCCCTATGCTTGCTCAAAACATCAAGCAAGGCGTCCACTGGGTACCCATACCTACGCAAAGTTACTCCTAATAAACTCACATAATCCTTAATCAATAACAAGTGATTCGCAGTCTGCATTCTAGAAAACTGATCCTCCAAAACAGAACACATTTTGCTAACAGCGGTTTCCCACAAATTCTCAACCTCCATTTTCGATATCAAACCACCACCGGTCCTCAAAACACGATCTTCAACAATGAAAAAACCAGCGATTTGCGCAAAGAAAGTTTGATGCGATTCGAGAAACGGAGTCATAGAAGATACCTGAAAGTCCGAAGTCAATTGAAGCTTCCGATTCTCGAAATAATACTTCTTGAACCGGTCTTCAAGCCCCAAAGTCTGGTGTATATGATACGCCCTGTACAAAGGAGTCAAATCGAACCCTAGTATTCCACTTCCACCATTACCATCGTTTCCAACTCCTCCACCACTCAGTCCATCGTCGTCCTCTTCCTCCAAGGCATAAACGCAGTCTCTCAGGCTGAGGCGGCTCTGCTCCTCAGCCTGCCTCTGCTTGATCCTCAGATCCTCCTCTCGCTGCCTCGCCGAGGAGGCTTGACCGATCGCCAATTGACCTAAATTCCGACTCACCACGCGGATCTCCACCAGCCAATCGCCGAACTCCTTGCTCACCTTCCTCTCGATGTGCGATCGAATCTCCGGGATCTTCTTCTCCAGCGTCCTCTTCAGCGTCGACGACGGCGTCTTGTTCAGGAACTCCGATTCCACCGAGTCCACGCACTTGAGCGCCATATAGAAATTGTTGTTCTCCAGATGGTAATTTGATCTGGAGCAAAGCTCCATAAGCCGAACGCAGGTCCCGACTGATTCGAGAGCTAGGTTTACATTCCGCGAGATATTTCGCGCTTCGACGAAGGAGTCGAGAGACGACAGGAGAGGAACTCCGACGGACTGGAGCTTGGAGTTGGAGTCGGAGAGGGAGGATTTGAGGGAATCGACGTCGGAGAGGAGAGATCGGAGATCGTCGACGGCGAGGATGAAGTCCTGGTAGTGAGCCTTGCAGACCTCTTCGATTTCGGACTCCTTGGAGCGGGAGAAGTGGCGGAGGCTGTGGAGGAGGGTCTCGGGCTTGCCGGAGGCGAAGGCCTTGCGGATGAAGGGGCCTAAGTCCTCACCGTTCGCGACGGCGGAGGAGAGGAGGAGGTGGTCGAGTTTGTCGCCGGAGTCGCCGTTCTCGACGACCGCCGGAGCGACTTTGCGGCGAGTTTTTGTGGACTGCATCGTGGCCGTGGGTGGGTGACTAGTGGGTGGCAGGTGGGTGACGGAGGCGTCGGAGACGGATCGGGAATTTAGGGGAATTTGGAAAATTGAAAGAAAAATTTTTGAGAAAATTCGGAGACGGTGGTTATTTGGACATGTTGGATTAAAAAGGCCAGAAGATGGTCAGATAATAAAAAATTGCTAAAAAACAGAAGATCGAATTGTCGTTTCTGGACAGAATGACACTCAGGGACTGCGTACGGCGAAGATGTTATTGTTATCGGGCTTTTTGGGGGATAAACCTTGGGTATTTTAGTTAGTTCTTCCTTTCTTATTAATTTGGCAATTCCAACGCATTTTCTCAAGCTGTCATGTATTTATTTTGGCTTTTTAGTGTACTTTTTTTGGTGTCTAATCTTAAAATTCGGTTCAGACTTTTTATCTTTGCATGTAAATGGGTTGATTTTTGGTGTCTAATCTGAAGCTTTATGGTGTTTGTATATTTTCTTTTTTATAAATAATAACATTATGTATATGTGTATATATTTACCGATAGTGTTACTCACCTTAAATGCATGGTTTAAATCGGAAAATACTTGTAAAATGGGTGCTATGGTGTTAACAAAAGAATATGGATTGTAAAATTTAAGCAATATATTATTTTTCAGAAATAGTTGAAAATATGTCAATATGAAAAGCTTAACGAAGTATATAGGCTAACTTTTAGTTATATAAATTAATAGGCCATAACTTGTCAAGTATGGTTTATAACCATATAAGTTATAGACAAACTTGTCAAGTTATAGTTCATAGCCAAATAAGTTATGGATAAAAATCGTGATTTATGGACAATAACTTATCAAGATATGGTTTATAACCAGACAAATTATGGATAAAAATAGTAAGTTAGCCTATTTATTAACTTATGTAAATTATTGGCCTATTAATTTTAATTGATCTCAAGTCTTGACATATTTCTCTCTTTTTTAAAAAATATTTACATTTGAGCAATGTCCTCTGTATGTGAACTTTTGTTATTATTGTTAGTTAGGTAAATCATACTTTTCATTAGAAGGCTAAATCAGCCAAGATTACATCAGAAATTAAAAGTGGCCATATTCTTATGAGTGATACACTCATAAAATATGTCCAATTAATCCATCAACAGCTGTACTAAATTTTCTACTATTTCATTTCACAAACGCACAATATCATCGAGTATTCTCTACACCTAATAAAATGTGTCTTATCAATATAAACCACCTCCATTTATTTGAAAAAATAAAGATGTACTAAATTAATTTTCTACTATTTCCACAATAAATATCATAGCATGAAACTCAACCGTTAAAGAATCTCTCCCTAGTTTGCGCAGAAGAATGTTTTTAGCTTGGCCATAAAAATAATTGCGAAGGTATATGCATGGTAGTTTTAAATGATTAGAGACAAGTCATTTTTGTTTGGCAGCTAACTCCCACTTCTTTTCTTTTTTTTTTTTTCTTTTTTTTTTTTTTTTAAAGTTCGCTGAAAAGCCAAATCCTAATTTCAATCCAACGATCGAGATGTTGCCTCACAGTTACATGCTTAGCTCAGGCTCAAAGCAACCTCCACTAGTTCTTTTGAAGGATTTAATTTAATGGGAGTTTGTTGGTTTAGGTTGCATTTTTCAAAATCCCTTTAGTTTTAGATTCTTGTAAACCTAGGTATTCGTGCTTTGGACAACATAATCACACTATATACACCTTTGTAAATGGGGAAACACTAGCACTATTCTGACTCAAACCCTACTTCCATTCATTAGTTGACATGCATCAACTCAATTTTTTGAGAAAAAGAGTTGAAAAATAACTGTTTTAGCTAAGTATTCTTTCGTGCTGATAGACTAAGTATTTTTAATTATTTTTTAATTTTTACGTGATTTTATACAAATTTAAAAGATAAAAAACTTAACATAACGGTACATTAGCGTACTAAAAAAACCTTTTGAATAATCTCACTTTTTATAATTTCACTTCCCTTTGTTCTCACACCTTCTTTCCCGCTGCCAATAGCATGGTAGGCTATCGGTAATAAGTAAGATAGTAAGAATTTATATAACACGCTAAAATATTGCGAATATCATGACATACTAGTTTTATTTTCGCAACATAATACATTTAATAATATTAAAAACTATCATAGGAACAAATGTTGCGGAGTGGGTTATGGTTGTCATTGCGACCTTTCTATAAGATTTTTTTTTTCTTATAATATTTTCTCATGAGATAAAATGATTTAGGAAAAAATAGATAAATACACGTTTAAATTGCATGGTTTTTAATTTTGACTCCTTACTCTTAATTAATACTTATTTAATCAAATATTATATTACTCACAATTATATTAATCAAGTGTAGAGTAAAAATCTAGACCTATACACTTTTAACTTCTATTGGTAACTTTAAGGCCCGTTCATTTCGCCGATTCGAGTTTAGAATTCGAGTTTTGCTACAGTAAAAAGCTCTCAGAAACAGTCACATCTAACTTTTTTGCTATAGTAAAAAGTTCTCACACAAAATCACATATCAACTCGAATTATAAATTCGAATCAACGAAGTGAACGGGAAGTAATTTTCTCATTGAATATTCTATGAGTTAAATGTGGTTATGTTCGATCCATCCCTATGAGAGAATGGACCACGAATTAACCATCTACGTGTGTGTTTTTTTTTTTTTTTTTTTTTAA